TCCCTTTCTGTTTCCCTGCTGAGTCCAGAAAAGAGAACGGGTGCCCCTCTGGCATCCTTCCCTCCCCATGGTGGGCAGGGCCCACCCCCAAGGAGACAGGCTCCCTGTCACACACTCCTTATTATTAGATTTTTCTGGCTGGGGAAGTCTGGGAGGGCTTCCTGAAGGAGGAGGGATTTAGGGGAGCCCTGAAGGCCAGCTGGAGAACACTGAAAGAGCACAGGTATGGGGGCTGCCAACCAGCTTCTGAGTCCCTACCTGGAACCCAAAGTGGCACAAAGGAGCGGGGTCTGGGCCTACAGCCTCTGCCTGCTTCTGCCTCGGGGTCCAAAGGGCTTGAGAGAGAAATAACTCTTGTGCAGGGCTGAGTGGTCATGTCCTGTGTTGGGCTGGCTGCCAACACCCTGTGGCCACCCTCTCCTTCCCTCCCTGCTGCCACCACCCTCCCACTCCCCCTCGGCATGCCCCCACCTTCCTGTGCCATCGCCACCTGCCGGGGGCTCCTGCCTGCTGGCCCCATCACACCCTGGCTCACAGGCCCAGCCCCAGACAGCTCGGAAGGGCTTCCACCCGGCGCATCTTGGGCTCGGAGGGCTCTCAAGCCTGGTGGGACGGCTTCCCCACCGTCCTCCTATCCTCTGCAGTCTGGTCCTCAGTGCCCTGTGAGGCCCAGGCTCCTGGGTCCTCTGTCTTTAGGCCCCCTACTATCCTCGTGCCTGCCCTCCGGTAACCCCACCTTCCTCAGACCTCATTCTGCACCCCTGCCTGCTGGCTCGCCCCCTCATCCCTGCCCACCCCCGAACTTCCCACACTCATGTTCTCTCTGTGCTGGGGGCACTGCCCCACCGGGGTCTGAGTCTGCCAGAGCCCACTGTATCCCAGGCCCTCGGGCCATGCGTGCAGAACGCGTGGACTAGGGAACACACGCCAGGGCTGCAGGAGGAAGGCCCTGGGGGGACGGCATGGGCCTGCTCCTCCGGGCACTCACCTGGCACTGTCCCTCTGCACCCCGCCCCTCCCCGACTCTCCCCAGCCCCCTGCAGCACTGAAACCAGGGATCTGCATGGCCTCACTGAGCCTAGCCCTGCGTGTGGCAACCACGTGCCCTCGCCAGAGCCCTGCCCGGGGCCTCGGGCTGCGCCTGCTGACCAGCACAGCCGGCCCCACCACTGAGAAGAATGTGCCGTATCAGCGGACCCTGAAGGAGACAGAGGGCCCCTCAGCGGTGGCCCGAGGCCCCAGCCATCCCCTGCCCAGCTCGGCTGATGTGGTGGTCATCGGTGGGGGCAGCTTGGGCTGCCAGACCCTGTACCACCTGTCCAAGCTGGGTGTGAGCGGGGCAGTCCTGCTGGAGCGAGAGCGACTGACATCCGGGACCACCTGGCACACGGCAGGTAGGGGCCAGGGCACAGGTGGGGCTGAGGAGGGACGGGCACAGGGAGGCCGTGTCCTGCCGGCCAGCGTGTGTGACAACCGCAGCCTATAGAGGGGCTGTGTCGGAGGGAGTGCCGAGGACAGCGGCCTGCAGGCGGGCAGATCCAGGCACCGCTCACCTGGCCCGCCTCCAGACCACCCCGAAGGCGTTGAAGCGCCCACAGCATCCCGTCCCCGGCAGCTCTCCTTGGCTTTCACCCTCCAGCTGGTGCTAGGCCCCAGGCAGGCCACGTCCTGGAGTGTAAACGTTCCCAGCCCAGCCAGCGTCCGGCTATTAACCGAGGCCCCGGCTATGGAGTGGGGAGAGGCTCCCAAACGCCACTGCCTCTCCCCTGTGGTCCAGTCTGTCCTCGCTGGGCTCCACCCTGGGCATTGCACCACCACGGCTCTGGCCTCCTGTTCCCAGACTTTGTGACTGACGGGCAGCCTTTGCCAGCGAAGAGCAGGGTCTGGGCTTCGGTCGGCCCCAGTAGGGTCCCTGTGCCCCATCCACACACCGGGACCTTGGGCTCGAAAGGAGCCGTCTGGTGCGCCTTTATTTCATCCGTGAAATAGTCACATTCGCCTCATGGGGCTGCTCTGAGGGCTCGTCACCGGCTCAGCACGCAGTAGGTCCTTGCTACACGGTGCCCGTGGTGTCACCGGCCTTGAGCTGCACAGAGGTCGGTGTCCCACCCTGGCGCTCGGCTTCCACCCAGTCACCCCCACGGCCTGCGCAGCGGCCCCGGGAACTCAGCGTGCCTCCTCTCCCCTCCAGGCCTGCTATGGCAGCTGCGGCCCAGCGACGTGGAGGTGGAGCTGCTGGCCCACACCCGGCGCGTGGTGAGCCAGCAGCTGGAGGAGGAGACCGGGCTGCACACGGGCTGGATCCAGAACGGGGGGCTCTTCATCGCGTCCAATCGGCAGCGCCTGGACGAGTACAAGAGGCTGATGTCGGTGCGTGAGCCCCGGGGGCGGGAGCACCCCTAGGGCGGCGTGGCAGGGAGGGAGCCAAAGACCTGGCACAAACCCTGGCTGTATGGGCCACCTGGGCGAGTGACTTTGCCACTCTTCATTCAGAATTCCCAGATGGCTCCTATGGGCTCGGCTCAGCCCTAGTCAGGCCCCTGTGGGCCAATCAAAGGCGGTGGAGGCGTGGCCTCTCTGGCAGTCTGGAGCTGGTGCGACTAGGAACCCAGAGGGACCTGATCCTCAGACCCTTGGGGCTGTTTTATTTTACGTAAACTTTCTACCACCTTTACGTGATAAACCCTTCGTACCCAGCACTGGGCTATGCTCCTTCTCAACGACTACGCTATTAGGACCCCATTTCACAGCAGTGTAGGCTGGGTCGGGACCAGGTCTGACCCAGTGCCTGCTTCTGCATGCCAGCCTGTGCCCCACCCTGGTGCCCACTGGGGGTGACTTTCGGGCTCTGGGGAGGGAGCAGCCTGGAGGCCGCCTCCCGGCTCCCGCATGCTCAACTCAGCCCTGGCCTCCCTAGTTGGGCAAGGCCTACGGTGTGGAGTCCCATGTGCTGAGCCCAGCAGAGACCAAGGCTCTGTACCCACTGCTGAACGTGGAGGACCTCTACGGGACCCTGTACGTGCCCCACGACGGCACCATGGACCCTGCCGGCACCTGCACCACCCTCACCCGGGCAGCTACTGCCCGAGGAGCACAGGTACTGCCCCCGGCCCACCCCTGCTGTGTGAGAGTGGGGAGCTCCGTTACTGGAGCTGCGCATCCTCCGTCCAGCTAGAGCCTCCCTGAACCTTCTGACCTCCTCCTGCAAGGGGCGGTCTGTGCCTCGGATCTGCTTGGACACCAGCATTCCCACACCTGCCCTGGGGGCCTGGCCTGGCACTGCAAACCCTCTCAGAATGCTTTCAAGTAGTTTTTTTTTTTTTCTTGTTTTGTTTTTTAGGGTTTTGCTACAGGGCACGTATGCCGAGAGAGAGAGAGAGATACAAAGAGAGGAAGTGAGGAATCACCCTCTGGAAAAGATGGCCACCCCACAATCCCCTCCTCCATTCTCCCCCTGGGACTTTGGCACACAGGCACACGTGCCCACTGTGAGTTTCAAACCACCGGGTCTAGGACTCAAACTGCCGTCAGCCTCGTGGGAGTCCAGTGCCCCAACCCCCATGCCACATGGTGGCCCCATCCTTGTTGTAATTTTTATCTTCATTTGTCTTATTTACACACAGAACTACACAGAACTATAGTGAAAAATCAAAAAGGTAAAGGGCCGGCAGGTGGCATGGTGATTAAGGTGCTAGACTCCCATATGGCCGGCCGACCATGGTTCAAGTCCTGGACCTGGTGGCTTGCCTTCTCACTTTCCCCCTCACTCTCTCTAGTCAAATTAAAAAATAATAATAATAAATAAAATAATTCTTTAAAAAAATTTAAAAATAGACAAGTAAAAATAAAATAATGAAAATAACCCAGAAGGGTTGATATTTTAGTG